CACCCTCCCTGGCGACCTCACCTGCCTCTGCAGACACGGTGGCTCTGACTGTAGATCTGCCGTGTCCACCTGCCTGTGGGTGTTCTGACATCACCTTGAACGCAGGAGTTAAATCGAGCTTTCCATCTTCAAAGTGTCCGTATTTTATATTATAGTTTTGGGGATTGGAGATCTGGAAAGAAAGGAAGGAGAAGTGCTAGCACCATCCTTTTCCATTTTGGTTGTTGCAAACAAAGGAGAAATACGTATATATATGTACACCCACCTGCCCACACACACACGTGTTGGGTGCATTTCATAGGAAGCCAACCCGAAATCAATTTTCATTGACACAGTGGTGCTTCCTGAAAATTCCCTGTTAATCATATTATTTTCTCAAAACAACAGCTGTGTTTGTGCAACACCCAGTGTCCTGTTGGCTCACTGGGAATTTCCGATTATATAAGTTGAGACTCCCATGTACGAGGTTTATTGACAGGCCCATTAAATAACTTCGCTGAACTGCAAGCCCAAAATTCCCTGTGAATACATTTCAGTATGCTTTTCGAAAACAGATTTTATTTGGAATGAATAAGGGCAATGTAGAAAACACCCTGCCCCAGGTAGCTGAGTGTGAATAAATGCCTGAGTGCTACACAGAGACTCGTTCATCCTGTCCCGTTTCCAGCTGGAAGGCTGCCTCCCGTTTCCGAATCCTTCAGCCGTGGCGAACATATGCGCTCTATTAATGACAACAAGTAAAAGATCACATGCTACCAAAGTCCCGCTTGTATTCTGAAGGTCCATATGGAAAGGTGTAGAAGAAACAAGCCTTTCCCTGGGAAGGCAAACACAATTTCAGGCTCAGCTCAAGAATGAAATATATTTGCTTTTGAGCCTGGGAATATTCTAGAAGCTAAAAGTTCTAGAAATTGTAGGTAACGACATGTCCTTTTAATCTCTTTATCTGGAAAACGAAAACAGAGCATTTTGAAAACTGGTGATGAAGAAACGTAGGCTAAAACTGTGTATATTATTAAATAACAATAACATTATGAATTGTTCATGCCATTTGCCCAGCAGAGAAAATGCTTCGAAACAAATACACTCACTTATTCGTTCATTCAGCAAATATTTAGCACAAACTACGTGAAAGGAACAGGGCTTCTTTCCCACCCAGCGCTGGAGATACTGTTTGACGTAATTAGTTGCGATAACGGCGCGACGCAGCCTGTCTCGCAGAGGGGCAGATGAAATGGACGGGGCTTACAAAGGAAGGCACTGTTTCCAGCCTGGGGCTGGGTCCAGGTCTTGCAGCGCTGGGCAGGTTTGGAGGGGAAAAAATGTCTAGGAGCGATTTATATAACAATTCATTCTTCATAAAAACACTATGAGGAGAAGGAAAATAAGCTGTATAGAGGACATCTAGATCACTCTCCTCCTGACAGTGCTCGCATCTGGCGTTAGGCTGGCCTGGCTGCAAGGCCCGTCCTGCTTTCATGACTCTGGGATGCTCTGGACTCAACAAGGGCAGCTTCTACGGCGGCTGCCCGGCTGCCGGGCCCGAGCAGGCCAGAGGGGTGGCCGCAGGGCTTTCTTAGCCCCCGGAGGCCGTGGTTTCAGCGTGGCCTGTTTCATGCAAACGCGGGGTCCACTGTAGGGAACGCTGTGCCGCTTTGGCCTCCAGGCAGGGTGGGAGAGGGCAGGGACTTTTGATGGCTGGACATTGGGGGCCACATCGGGAAGCGCACCTCCACCTTCCAGGTGTTCCTTGTTGGGTGAGGCTTTTCTTGGACA